GCTCTGGCTGTGCTTCTCACTGTCGGGCAAAGCTCACATCTGCGGTCTTTCTCCTCTGCCCAGACCCCATATTCCAGCTGACCCTGGACGAGTCCAGCCCGGTGTGCCAGGCGATGCGAGAGCAGTGGGACGTGTGCGCGCGCACCATGGAGATGGACCTCCATGTGCTGCAGTGGGTGGAGGACGTGGAGCAGCGCGTCCTTGCCGCCGACCTCCAGCTCAAGGTCAGGAGCAGCAATGGGCTTCTGGGAATTGTAGTTCTGGGCCCGTGTTCCTGTTCCATAAGAGCAGGTAGAGGTGGTGTTCAGGTTTGAGAGCTCTGTAGATTAGCTGAGGAGCACTGGAAAATGGACTGGTCCTATTCTAGTGACGGTCCGTGTGAGTCGCCGTCGGCTCATTTTGGAGGTGTGGCATCAATTTGACATTATGGGAGGAGAAATTTTTACTCCTTTTGTGCTTTTTTTCAATTTTATCTTTCAATTGTTTTACCAGCAAGAGACTAATGCTCTTAATTCCTAATGAGGCAGCACACCAGTGTAAATAGCACCCTACTAAAATATTAGGGTGTACACCTCCAGCGGCATGTACAGCCAGAGCCTGTCATGGTACCAGCTCCCCTGGGCTCAGCTCCGTCTGAGAATTGTCAGTCAGGATTAAAGGGAGTGCGTCCTTTGTATTCAAACGTGCCATTCTGTAATATTTTGGTGTTTATTTGGCGCTGCATATGCCCAAACGCAAGCGGCAGATATTCCTCAGGTACGTGAAGTATGCAAAGGTATTAAAATTGCCCAGATGGATTGTCCGAAACGGCCCCCTCGGCTCTGGCTGCAGTTGTCAGGCGCCATGCGGGACGCGGGCGCGCGGCCGGTTTGGATCGGGCAGAGCCGGGTTATCGGTGACCCCAGCCTCCGGTCTCCGGTGATCCGGTCTCCCTGCCGCTGCGGCTCCAGAGCTGTCATCACTTCTTCCCAATTTATGTTTTAAGATGGTTCCCCACTGCGGAAGGAGCGACACTGACAGTATCGCGGATTCCGCCTCCCCGGGACATCAGGTACATTTGTCTGGGTGGACAGTGGAGGGGGGAAGGAGTAGGGTGGGAACTCGGGGGCGCACGCAATTCCCTCCTCCTCCTCCTCCTCCTCACTCTCCCTTTTTTTCCTAAGGCGTTTTTCCTCCATAAGCCGAGCGATCTTCGGTCAGACTGATGGTGCAGTTACTAACGAAGACTTGTTTGGAGTTGGGGAGTGTTGTCCTCCTTCAGTTTCTTTCCTAGCCCCCACCTCTCCCATCAGATCCTCAGACAGGGCTGGTGTTTCCGGGCCGGACCTGCAGGACTGCTCTGATTTTTGAAGTTTGAAGTTGTGATTTGGTTTGAAGCAGCTGGATCCTTCAGCCAATGCTTGCAGCTCAACAGAGTCAGCAGCTGAAGTTGGGAAGCGTTCTGTTTGTAC